ACAAGAGCGCGGAATGATCTCGAGTGCAGCAAAGGCCTTTTGCACTCGTTACACATTATATTTTTCCTACAGTCAATATAAAGCATATAAATAATTAGTCTTTCAAACACTATAGAACACAGTTTTAGGTTCAGCTAGCAACACAAATAGGTGCCCTAGAGAATGTAGTCCCCGGTCCGTATCACTCCGCTATTTTTTCCTCGGCCAGCAATGTGCTCCGCGACTTGAGAATATAGTTCCGTGTATTTTTGTAATTTGCAGTGGTTTCTAAAAAAATGCTTTAAAGGTATTTTCTTGTTTATTAAGATCGTAGGAATGTTTTAAAAACGTTTAAAAGAAAAGTCCAGAAAGTTCAGAAATACCGAAAAGAGAACATAAACTATAAACACGAAATGACAGGTTAAATTGTAGTTATAATAGTCAATCAGCTGCTCATAGTATTATTATCTTTAAGTGTTGCCAACCTATTTCCAAGCGTACACGGATTACGTGCATAATAGAACCACGCTGTTTTATGTTGTTTCGTTGGAATCCTGATGTGCGCCAAAGTATAAACCGTAAGACAAAGTATAAATATGCAGCAATTATAAGCTTTCTGTACTATAAACAGTACAAGGAAGCCAACTTTGTCAGGTGACTGTAGGAAATGGTATATAAACAACGTGTAAAAATATGAAAATTAAAAAAGATTTTTCCCGATCGCGCAAGACCATGAAATTTGGTAATTTTGACGAAAATTAAAATTTCTCGTATTTTTTTTACTTTTTTTTTTTTTTTTTACTTTTGGGTTTCGCCCCAGTGGCTCTGTAGTTCTCCGAATTTGATTCTGTGATGTTCAATAGCATTAAAAAGTTAATAGGTTTACCAACAGGCTGCAGCACTATTATTTTCTTAATTTATGACAACAGCTAATTTGCAACCAAAAGCTGAGTGAGCGTAGCTAACGAACTTCAACCTGGAGGCGAGTTAGCGTAGCGAACGAACTAAACCTGAGGGCAATTTTGTATATACCAGATTTGTTATATTTGTCAATTCTTTGTGGGTTCTTGTATGATAGTTTTGTTTTTTTATTTATTATGTTTCTCGACTTAACAATTGGAAAAAAAATCAATGACAAACATTATTTTAAAATTTATAGAAAAGCCACTCAAACAGATCATGTTATTCCTGCTGACTCAAATGCACCATGGCAACATAAAATGGCAAGCTTCAACTCTATGGTACACAGAATGTTAAGAGTGTACCTTTAAATGAAGATGATTACAATTTGAAAAATATATTATAAAAGACATAGCTACAAGTAATGGATACAAGGATAGTTTAATAGACAAATTAATCAAGAAGATAAAAAATAAGAAACCCCAAAATTTAGACAAAGAAGAGAAGAAGGAGTTTATCTGTCTTCCGTACAGTTCGGTATTAAACAAACCAATCAGAAAAAACATTTCAAGCATCTAAATTCAAAATTAGCTACAGATCTAGAAACAATGCATTCCATTAATAAACTATCAAACAAGAACCCACAAACAATTGACAAATATAACAAATCTGGAATATACAAAATCAAATGTCTAAATTCTACATTGGTCAGACTGGAAGAACATTTTCATGCAGATTCAAAGAACATATCCAAGCCGTAAAATCAAACAATCAAACATCCCAACGCTCAATGTATGCAGAACACATATTAGAAAATAATCATAACTAGTGAACCTGTGCGGTTCAATGCCCCGCAAAATGACATATGAATTTAGAAAACAAATTCATCGTATTATATATTGACTGGACGTCGAAAATTAAATGCAGTAATAATGAAGCCTTGGAAGGGAAGCAGTTCAGCCATTTTCTAGCTGTATGTGTATTATATTTAGTAAATTAATAAGTGTTCAGGTTCAAGTATGTTATAGGCAGCAAGCAAGGTTAGGGTAGTTATTTTTTAAAGATTTTTAAAACACATTTAACAAAACATTTTATCATATCAAACCAATAGGCCTATGTAGCATATTTTGAGGGTCATAAAAATGCTGCTTGAAGAAACACACACTTTTAAAAATAAACACTAAAAACACAATAGGCTATTTTTATCACAAAATCACTTCCATGAATACTACGATTTTAGCCTTAAAGTTACCTTCAGGAAGATTACCCTGGTCAGAGTTTTCTGTAACGAATATGCGTATCCTATTAAAAGATGTAGCCTTACTTAAAACAACATATAATATAGTTGCGCATGACTCAATTGGTCTGGGTAAGAACAGCGCTGCAAATGCCAAAGGTAACAGAAATTAGCATCTTTCCATTTTGAAAGGTAAGTTTGTTTCATTTCAGACAGGTAAATTTTTATCCTCGAAATCAAAATATGTCCCCACTCGTTGTTCCAGTTAAGACTTTACATTCTATTAAGTTGTTAACCATTGATTCTGATCACATGAAGCCTTGTGTCATTAATAAGGCCCTTTTTGATATATTAATATTCCTCATCAATAAAACCACTGCCCCCTTTTATTAGTCTAATCTGTTTCTTGGCAATCCACTGACCTCTATATTTAAAACGCAGAGGATACGCGTCCGGTAACCGGACGTGGATTAGGCGTCCGGCAGTTACTGTCATAACCTAACCTAACCAACCAAACTTGCTGATAGTGAAAAAAATCAAATGAAGGTTCAATTCTCTTCATAACATAAAATTATAAATGCCAAAAATTCTAACAAAAGATGTACAGTTAAGAAGAAATTACATTCAAAGCAAAATCTGTGACAAAAAGTTAAAGTTACCGATAGGTTTCGAACCGGGGACCTCTCGCATTCCAGTCGAACACTCTATCCACTACACCACGAACACTGATGGCTGAACTTCGTATCATTGTGGTAATGGCGTTCCGGTACCCCCTACCGGACGCCTAATCCACGTCTGGTTACCGGACGCCTAATCCACGTCTGGTTACCGGACGCGTATCCTCTGTGTATTTCAAAACTCAGTTGGATTTTCTAGATGGGTGTCTCCGCCTTCGTCTGTTTTTAAGGACCCACTCTTCTTCCCCTTGGTATACTGACAATTAATTACCTGACTTGTCAAGTTCATGTAGTAATTCAATAATACTGTTAGTTTATAAAGAAAATTAGATAAAAGTTACTTGGCTTGGTGCTTTCATAACTGCAAACTCAAAATACACCCACAAGTAAAAAAGAATGGTTAAAAAACTATGTGTAATAACATTATTCACATGAAGTAGATGATTTGTTTGATTTGTTGATCAGCTGTTTAGTTTCAAATGAATTAATAATGTCAAAGATTTGTGATTTAAATACATAAATTATTATAGTAAAGTTTTCTATGGTAACTTGTTCTCCACTAAATTTTACTATTCCCAGCATTGAAATAAAGTATTAAGATCCATTATGGGTAAACTTTAAGGTACACAATCGTATATTGAAATGTAGTAGGTATACGTTAAGAGTCATAACACACAGCAATTATTATTTAGTAGACTTTGACTATTTTCAAGTAGCAAACATATGTTTCTGTAAATAAAAATTATCTCCCATGTTATCCTTATGGAGAAATACGAAACGTTAAAGGGCTCCAGGGCCTCAATATCTCAATATTTCCCTAAAAAGAAAGTTTCCTGCACAACTTCACGTTACCCTCTTTCCAATGACACCAAAAACATGTCAATAGGTTCAGTAGTTTTGGAGGAGTAATTGTCACAAAAAACCTGCTTGCGTATTAAATAAGTATAGACATAGATAAAACATACTCCCTTACTGATGGTACCATTAGTCTGTGCTCGTAGTTGTAACAGCTGTCGTGTGGATGCGGGGAGGTGAGGGGGCTCTTTTCTAAAAACATTAGTCAGTTTTGCTGTCACATAAAATCGCTGTCAGTGTTTATTTGTTTGTTTACCTTTTTACTTGTAAACAGTTCAATGTTTTGTTTGTGATATTCTTAACCTTTTTTCACGTTTCGTTTTTTTTCTTAATTTAATATACACACACATTTTTTCTAATTTTGTACCTTTCATTATCATTATTAGGTGTACAATTTGAGAATCCTTCTAATTATGTTACAAGATGAACATAATAACATAGCATAACAACAACATAATTTAAACAAAAAATCGGAACCTCAAGTCGCAATTGGAAGGCCAAGTTAATAAAGGTGACTATCCTTCTTAGGGATTAGAAGAATGTGACTGCTCCCACCGAGGGAAAACGTGTGAAAACAAATAAAATACCCATAAAATTGCTGAAAAAGACAAAGATTTCACGTCAGTTCTAAACTACACCACAAAAAGGTATGACCTAAGGGCCTAAATTAGTATTTGACGTCAAAATACTGAAATATGAGAAATGTGAAAGAATGAGAATATGTGAGTTGGATCACTTCATGCTGATCGCTCATTTGCTGAAGTAAAGTGATAAGAAGATCGGGATCTTGGATTAGAGGAGAAAATAAGAACACGAGAACGATTTATTTATTAACCACGACCATTCATAGGCCTACTGTCTCGTTGAAATGTGGAGTTCTATCGCTTATGGGTTACTCGTTGACGAGAACGGTTGTAAAATGAGTGGACTTTCCTAATTTACTGATTGTTGCTAAATTTATAACCTTTGTTGTTTGGTTATTTTCACAAGGTCTTAGTATAAATATGTTTGTATACTTAATTAAAGTCTATAATCATCTTATTAACTGGATGCTTTATTAATTCATTTACCCATATCCAAATGTAACTGAAGGATTATTTTTTGTTCAGATTTCAAAAATATAAACCACTTTGACAAATCTTGTAAAATTGACGACTACTAAAAGACTTCTTTAAGCTAATGACTGATTTTTATCTAACCGTGGCTGTATTATCATAAGCATATAATATCAAACTGAAAATAAATATAAAACACCAGTAAAAGCAAATGTAGGCCTAAATAGTTGAATGATAAAAAGTTGACTAACAAATTTTAGTTTATTAACTATTTACAAGGTAAGGCCTGTATATATTTTAAACGAGGTCTTCAATGTCACTCATATCATCGTCTTCTTCGTCACTGCTGTCGCTGTTTCCTACTGATATGACCATTGATTCCACGAGGTCGTCGATCCGCGGCTCAGCTGAAGCATAATTATTTTCAATAGTTTTTACATGGTCGCACTTGTTTTTCCACTCTGTTGCACCAATGATATCAAATTTTTCCTGTGCCAATGAACGGATGCTCTCGAAGCTACAATTTACGTTACTGCTAGCTACGTAACCTTTTACTTCAGCCCAAATAAGTTCTATTGGGTTTAGATCTGGGTGGTAGGGGGGGAGACGAAGAATAACATGGTCAGTACCCGTGAGTAGTTCATCAATTTCATATCGAATGAATCTTGGTTTGTTCAGCAGTACAAGCTTATACAACTCGGGAACCAGCATTTCGTTTGAATATTGTATTCCATGTTTGGTTAGCCAGTCCTTCATTTCTTGTTTCCTACTATTTGATGTGGGTGCTTTGTCTAATTGCGCATTGTGATAAGGTGCGTTATCTACAACTATCACGGACTTCGGTGGTATGTTCGGCAGAAGTTTCTCTTTCATCCACTTGATCATGGTTTCCTTCCTGACATTGTCGTGATAATCACCCGTGGTGCTCGATGCCTTCCACATCGTCAATGCGTTAGGGACAAAACCAGCTTCACTTCCTGCATGAATCATTATTAGGCGTTGTCCTTTAGAAATGGGTACACGCATTCCCTTGGTTGAGTTGTCAGACCACGATAGACTTGAAACATGGCTTGTTAAAATATATGATTCGTCCATGAAAATAATAGTACGACCCTCATTTCTGAAACGTTTGACTGCTCTCAAATAAGAAATTCTCTTTTCCCGGATTTTGTTTGTCTCAATCAGCATTTTTCGGTTGTTCTGCGTTTTCCTCCATCTGAATCCAAGCTCCTTCAGAATTCTCCTAAGGCTTGATTTTGATCCTTTGAAATCTATCTGTTTTTTTAGTTCCTCGTGTAGTAAAGAAACTGTTGGTAGTATTTTATGTTGAATGTGGAACTCATACACCAAGCGTCTTATCAAAGCCTTATCAAAATCATCCACTCCAGTGACGGGCCTTTTTCTGCTTTCTTTTAACTTACTAGGAGTACAAAAACTTTTGTTGCTATCATCGTCATCATGTATTAGTAGTGCTTTAAGTTCGCCATTAATCTTCGTTATGACTCGCTCCGAGACCCCGATTGCCACTGCTGTTCGGGCGCGAGCTTTTGCCAAGGGAATGCTTACAGCTTTATCGTCAGCCTCTTTTTTCATAAACTGGTAAACATTGCTTACTATTTCCCGACTCTGTCCGTTCAGCGTCCTACCCTTCAACTTACTTTTCACTCTGTCACACATAATTCTATGTATGCCGAATACGTTAAAACACAGTATTAAACAAAAACACAGTTAAACTAAACTAATCTTTCCGTTAAACACACTCTGCTATAATAATATTTAGAAAAGAATATAAATATTTACTTTTTTCAATCATGTGATTCAATTAGAAATTCGATTATTCCAGCTAGAAATTTTATAGACGACTATTGGTGTGAGTGAGACCATAATGGAGTGAGTGAGCCCAAGTTTTATAGAATGGCTAGTAGCGTCAGATCCGCGCGCACAGACTAATGACACTGTCTGTAGTAGATTTCTCATCCTTATGGAACAGCTGAAGACAATTTTAACTTGTCCCCTAGTTATATAACCAAACAGTAAAGCACAAATCAAGAAATTAACCCTAAAATAATGGAAACAAAGTTTCATCGACACTAGCGCCTTTGTGTCACGTACATGAACTAGACACGAAAAACGTGCTTCAAAATTTACAATGGGATGAGAAGTCTACTTGTGTTGGTTAGTCTATGGTATAGATTATGGCAAATTAGAAGAATGTGTAAAAATTCTAAATTGTGAGAAAAAGGGTGAAAAATGGATATAAAAGAAGAACTGCAAATATACCTACACTCAAAAAAAAAAGGCGACCAAATTCCCAATGTAGGCTAATGCAAAAACAAAAACAAAATCCAATACATGAAAAAATCAAACAAATCAGGGATGAATCCTACACATTCACATGTTAAAAAATACACCTAACCATTTAACAAAATTTACTATGAATTCAAAACATATGTTATTAACTATTTATTTATTTTATTTGTTTACATACTATATAACTCATACTGTGATCATGGCCTTAGTGCCAAAATACGTATCAGTTTAAATAAAAACAAATTTCAGGGTACTCTGGTTTTTATTATTTCGCTTATTAATTGAAAAAGTAGTCCTAAAAAGTGAACAGAACTATCAATATATATATATATATATATATATATATATGTGTGTGTGTCCGTTAGCGCGATAACTTGAGCAAAAATGATGCGATTTTTATGAAATTTGGTACAAACGTGTAAACCTACGTTTATTCAAACAAGTTTGCGATCCAGCTTAATCGGACCATGGGAACGGGGGTTTTATGGGGTAAAAATGGGGGTTTTCCGTTTTTGACCATAAAAACAAAAAATTTTGCGATTTCTTTTTAAACTGTTTTGTAGAGCTTAAAAAAAGAAATAATTTAGTATAATGAAGCACTGTTGTAAGCCTAACGGTCACAGAGAAAATTCAAAAATAGTGTAATTTAAAATTCCCATGTTATTATTATGGAGAAAATGAAACCAGTTGTACTTGTTTATGGATATATATATAGATAAAATTTGGCAAATTTATTTATTTCATCCAATACTATTGATGTATGGTCAAAAAACACTTTTTACCTTCCCCGTAGCAGCAAACCTAAGCACTCGTTAAATCTAATCCTATTATCCTATAGTCTAATACGAGCAATGTTTGCTTGTATGTATGTATGTATGTATGTATGCTTGCTTGCTTGCTTGCAACAATATCTCGAAAACGGCTCTGACGATTTTCTTAAAATGTTGTAAATAGTTTATTCCTGACCTAAAAACGAGTTTACTGCAGTTAGAACTGCCAACAAAAATCTAATTACATAGAAAAATGAAACTGAAAATCACATTTTTTTAACATTAGTCTTATGGGTTGCTAAGTAACCATGTTGGTTAAACTAAATGACAAGGAAAAAGTAAACAAAGGACTTGTAAGTTGTCTGTCCACAGTATACTGGCAAATTAAAAATACAGTACAAAAGGAAAAACATCAGTTGTTACTATTGAGCAAAGATTATACTGAAGATAACTCGATACATTGTAGTCAAGGGTAGAAGTGTGGAGTGTGGGATCTGTTTATGACGATTAGATTACGGTATCTGCAATCCTTAAATGCTTTGGGAAGGGAAGGAAACAGGTCCGCGACGTAGGAAGTGATGAAGGAAGTAGTAAAAGCGAGCAGACCGGAGTGTGGAAACTGTTTATGACGATTAGATTAAGATATATGCGATCCTAAAATGCTATGTGAAGGGAGGGAAAGAGGCCCGTGACGTAGGAAGTGATGAAGGAAGTAGTAAAGGCGAGCAGTCCGGTGTGGGGGAACTGTTTATGACGATTAGATTAAGGTAACTACAATCGTAAAATGCTATGGGAAGGGAGGGAAACAGGTCCGCGACGTAGGAAGTAGTGAAGGAAGTAGAAAATGCGAGCAGTCCGGAGTGTGGGAACTGTTTATGACGATTAGATAGATTAAGGTATCTACAATCCTAAAAGGAAGTGGTAAAGGAAGTAGAAAAGGTGAGCAGTCCGGAGTGTGGGAACTGTTTATGACAATTAGATTAAGGTATCTGCAATCCTAAAATGCTATGGGAAGGGAGGAAAACAGGTTTGAGACATAGGAAGTGGTGAAGGAAGTAGTCAAGGTGAGCTATACGGAGTGTGGGAACCGTTTATGACGATTATATTAAGGTATTCTGCAATCCTAAAATGCTATGGGATGGGAGGGAAACTGGTCCGGGACATAGGAAGGGAGTAGAAAAGGCGAGCAGTGTGGAGTGTGGGAACTGGAAACAGTTTTGTAGCAGTTAGAATAATGTATATCTGCAATACTGAAATGCTATGAGAAGGGATGGAAACATGTCCACGACACAGGAAATTGTGAAAGAATTAGTAAAGGCTAGCAGTGCGGAGTGTGGGGAATGGATTTATGTATCTGCAATACTAAGACTGCTTTCAGAGTAAACTAATGATTTTCCTCGAGCAAAAGCTCGGTCCCCAGGTACTCCTATACTCTAATATGAGCAATGTTTGCTTGTATGTATATGCTTTCACCAAGATCTCGAAAACGGCTCCGACGATTTTCTTCAAATGTTGTAAATAGTTTATTCCTGGCCTAAAATCGAGTTTACTGCAGTTAGAACTGCCAACAAAAATCTAATTGCGTAGAAAAATGAAACTGAAAGTAACTTTTTTTAACATTAGTCTTATGGGTTGCTAAGTAACCATCTTGGCTGAATTAAATAACTAGGAAAAAGTAAACAAAAGACTTGTAAGTAGTCTATCCACAGTATACTAGCAAATTTCAAATACAGTACAAAAGGAAAAACATCAGTTGTTACTATTGAGCAAAGATTATACTGAAGATTACATAGTAGCAGGACTTTTTTTTATCTATGATTGTAGTAAAGTGTGGAGTGTGGGAACTGTTTATGACGATTAGATTAAGGTATCTGCAATCTTAAAATGCGATGGGAAGGAAACAGGTCCGCGACGTAGGAAGTGGAGAAGGAAGTAGTAAAGGTGTGATAATATTTTTATACATATGAACTGTTATTATTCCTTATTTAATTTATGAATTTCTATATTGTCTCACAGTTGTTCTTTGTTTACTATTTACATTTTGTATTTGTATGTTACAAATCTTACTTGACTTCAGAGTTTATTAAAACCTATCCTTAGGTCAATTTATAATGAGTTTTATTTGCACTTCAATTTAATAAACTCTTTTCACAAGTCATGGACAAACTCCTCAAGTCTGACCGATTTGATGTAGAGCCAGAAAGTGAAGGTGCAGAAGAACAATGGCTGCATTGGTACCAGACTTTTACTAACTTCCTAGAGGAATGTGACTCTAATGCAACAAATGAAGAGGAAAAACTACGTTTACTTGTTAATCACATTAGTCCATCTGTCTACAAATACATCTCTGGAGCTACAACATTTGATGAAGCTATAGCTATTTTAAACGAACTCTATATCCGTCCTAAGAATGAGATTTATTCTAGAAATCTTCTAGTAACTCGTTTTCAGAAGTCAGGAGAATCAGTTGACCAATATTTACAAGCTTTGAAAGATTTAAGTAAACCTTGTAATTTTTCCCAAGTTTCTGCTGAACAAAATAAAAATGACTATATTCGTGATGCATTTATCAGAGGTTTGATTTCCTTAGTTATCCGACAAAGACATCATCTTTAGAAACAGGCTACCAATTGCCAGAAACAGATGGAAATGAACAAGATATTCAAGAACCGGAGGTTTCATTTGATCAAGAACAAGAGGAAAATGATTCTAGTGGGACATTAAGTGACACGAATGTACCAGTTGAACATGCAAACAGTTCTTGCGAAGACTCAAGTTCAGTGCCTTCCAAAACGCATCCAAAGCATATACGGCAAAGACCTTTCTATCTAAAAGACTATGTCTCGTTTTAGGGCTGGAAGAATGTGATAATATTTTTATACATATGAACTGTTATTATTCCTTATTTAATTTATGAATTTCTTTATTGTCTCACAGTTGTTCTTTGTTTACTATTTACATTTTGTATTTGTATGCTACAAATCTTACTTGACTTCAGAGTTTATTAAAACCTATCCTTAGGTCAATTTATAATGAGTTTTATTTGCACTTCAAAAGGCAAGCAGTCCGGAGTGTGGGAACTGTTAATGCCGATTAGATTAAGGTATCTAAAATCCTAAAATGCTATGGGAAGGGAGGGAAACTGGTCCGCGACGTAGGAAGTGGTGAAGGAAGTAGTAAAGGCGAGCAGTCTTGAGTGTGGGAACCGTATATGACGATTAGATTAAGATATCTGCCATCTTAAAATGCAATGGGAAGGGAGGAAATCAGGTCCACGACGTAGGAAGTGGTGAAGGAAGTAGTAAAGGCGAGCTGTCCGGAGTGTGGGAACTGTTAATGAGGATTAGATTAAGGTATCTACAATCCTAAAATGCTGTGGGAAGGGAGGGAAACAGGTCTGCGACTTAGGAAGTGGTGAAGGAGGTAGTAAAGGCAAGCAGTCCGGTGTGTGGGAACTGTTATGACGATTAGGGTATCTGCAAACCTAAAATGCCGTGGGATGGGAGGGAAACAGGTCCGGGACGTAGGGAGTGGTTAAGGAAGTAATAAAGGTGAGCAGTGTGGAGTTTGGGAGTGAATTAATGTATCTGCAATACTAAAATGCTTTCAGAGTAATCTAATGATTTTCCCCGAGCAAAGCTCGGTCCCCAGGTACTTATTATACTCTAATATGAGCAATGTTTGCTTGTATGTATGTATGCTTGCTTGCTGAAAGATCTCGAAAACGGCTCCGACGATTTTTTTCAAATTGTAGTAAATAGTTTATTTCTGGCCTAAAAATGAGTTTTAGTTAGAACTGCCTACAAAAATCTAATTACGTAGAAAAATTAAACTGAAAGTCACATTTTTTTAACATTAGTCTTATGAATTGCTAAGTAACCATGTTGGTTAAATTAAATCTTTGACTATATAATAGTCAATGATTAAATAACAAGGAAAAAGTAAACAAAAGACTTGTAAGTTGTAACATGTGTTCATAAAGGGCATCTACCCAAAGTATACTAGAAATTACAAAATACAGTACACAAGCAAAAACATCACTTGTTACTATTGAGCAACGATTATACTGAATATTACTCGATACATTGTAGTAAAGGCTAGCAGTGCGGAGTGTGGGATCTGTAGTAGCATGGTAGTAGTCCGGAGTGTGGGAACTGTTTATGACGTTTAAATTAAGGTATCTGCAATCTTAAAATGCACTGGGAGGGGAGGAAAACAGGTCCGCGACGTAGGAAGTGGTGAAGGAAGTAGTAAATTCGAGTAGTCCGGAGTGTGGGAACTGTTTATGACGATTAGATTAAGGTATCTGCAATCTTAAAATGCTATGGGAAGGGAGGAAAACAGGTCCGCGACATAGGAAGTGGTAACGGAAGTAGTTAAGGTGAGCAGTCCGGAGTGTGGGAACTGTTTATGACGAGTAGATTAAGGTATCTACAATCCTAAAATGCTATGGGAAGGGAGGAAAACAGGTCCGTGACGTAGGAAGTGGTGAAGGAAGTAGTAAAGGTGAGCAGTCCGTTTGTAACAGTTAGATTTATGTATCTGCAATACTGAAATGCTATGAGAAGGGATGGAAACATGTCCACGACATAGGAAATGGTGAAAGAAGTAGTAAATGCTAGCAGTGCGGTGTGTGGGAAATGTTTGTGGCAGTTAGATTAATGTATTTAATATACTAAAATGATATGGAAAGAGATCAAAACAGGTCCACTTCGTAGGAAGTGGCGTAGGAAGTAGTAAGGTTTAGCATCGCAGGGTGTGGGAACCGTTTGTGGCAGTTAGATTAATGTATCTGTAATACTTAAATGTTTTCGAAGGGAAGGAAACAGGTCCATGGCGTAGGAAATGGTAAAGGAAATGGTTGTTTTATAGAAGAAATAGTAAAGGCTGGCATCGCAGAGTGGGGGAACCGTTTGTGTTAGTTATATTAATGTATCTGTAATACTTAAATGCTATGAGAAGGGATGGAAACAGGTCCATGACGTAGGAAATGGTGAAGGAAGTAGTAAGGCTAGCAGTGCAGAGTGTGGGAACTGTCTGTGGCAATTACATTAATGTATCTGCAATCCTAAAATGCTATGGGAAGGGAGGGAAACAGGTCCACGTTGTAGGGAGTGGTGAAGGAAGTAGTAAGGGTGAGCATTGTGGAGTGTGGGAATGGATTAATGTATCTGCAATACTAAGACTGCTTTCAGAGTAAACTAATGATTTTCCCCGAGCAAAGCTCTGTCCCCAGGTACTGTTATTTAACTAGGGAATAAATATGTCTTATTTAGCGAATTTCCCTATAGGGAAGTAGCTATTACCGTAGGTCTCATGGTAAGACCTAAGCCCGGGACCGATTTACTTTTTCATTTTGATGTCCCCAGAGGCCAAAAACACCATTCGTTCAAATTTTTATATATCTATATATATGTATAATATATGTGTCCATCCGCACGATAACTTGAGTAATTTTTGTCCGATTTTGATAAAATTTGGTTTGAAGGTGTAAGGCGGGATAAACTTGAATGAGTTCGCGAACCAGCATGATCGGACTATGGGAACGGGGGTTTATGGGGGGTTTTATGGGGTAAAAATAGGTTTTTCCCATTTTTGACCCTAAAAACACGAAATTTCACAATTTATTTTTAAACCACTTTGTAGAGCTTAAAAAAACAAATAATTGAGTATATTGAAGCGTTATTATGCGCCTAATTGTTACGGAGAAAATTCAAAAAAATTGTAATTTTAAAATTCCCATGTTATTCTTATGGAGAATAAGTCAACTGTTGTATTTTGCTTGTTTATGAACATATTTTGATCGATTTTGGAAAATACTTTTATTTCTTACTAAACTATTATCATTTTATAAAAAACATCTTTTTTACCCTCCCTGTTGCAGCAAACCTAAGTACTCGTTAAACTAATTCTATTTAAATAGGAAATAAATGTGCTATTTTTATGGAGGCATTTTAGTGTGAATCCAATCAGATTAATGGAAATTCGCTTAGTCTGCAGGTTTGCTGTGGCGGGGGTATTTGTTTATGGAAATATTTAAGTAAAAAAGTAATCAGACAAGTTGAAATTCGCTTAGTCTGCAGGTTTGCTGCGGCGGGGGTATTTCATGTTTTTATTTTTGTAATCGAAAATAGTTTGGTTTCACAGGACTTGCTGCTCTCTGTACAAGCTAGTTAACTTTAGAATGTTGTCATCTACTCACTCCATCTCATACAGTTAATTTTCAATTCTCACTCACCACTGATCACTCACAAGACGCACAAGAGGACTACTAGCAGTCCAGACAGGGTAATGACTAATGAAACTTGAGTCGAGACAGGGTGGTGCGAGTGATCAAGGAAGTGAGAGAGGAGGTGGCAGCGTATAGGGGATGGCGGGGAAATGTTTCTGTTTCGTGTTTCAACGGCACATAGTGGCCGAAACCAGTGTTGCAAAAAAATTTAGAACTCTCTTTAATCTTTACCGACTTCAGGTGGAAACACAAATTTCTGTTGCAAACACTGAAAAACTGTTTGCAACAGCAAAATGTTTTGTCTAAAAATGTGCGTTTTTAGAGATATTTGCAATTTCTGTTTGCAACTCGTGTTTCAAACTCCGGTGTTAACGCGGCTTTAGAAACATTTAGAAGTCTGAGGAAAATATTCTGTCAAGTCCAAGGAACACTCATCTTTGTGAAGGAAACCAAAGTCATTTTGTAGAAAAATTTATTTACAAATACTAAAGCTAATAGGTACTTTACACAGATTCCCTGCCTTAATTATTGTAGAAATTACAATTAATTATATTTTACAGAATGAAATTGTTTTTTATAGAAGATTGTTGTTACTTTTTAGATTTAAAAAATCCGGATAACTGATATGAGCAAATGTAACTTCAAATCTGGAATCTCTTTCTAATGCAGTCAAATTATTATTGGTCAGTAAAGCTAATAGTTTTATAATAATAACATTTATTATAAGAAAAAAGAATTCCAAACAAGGTTCTTTCAATCGGAGTTAAGGATTGGAATCAATGAATCAAAAGAAAAGTATGATACCCGCATATTGTAAAGGATGGGAAATACTGATGCACTAGACACTCGTGTCTAAAACGTGAGCATACTTGTAACAAGAGTATGGAGAGCAGCGTACACCAGGATAACCCCTACAATGCTCATCACTAAGACGAAACACCATAGCTTTTTCTGAAACAACACAATAGTTCTGAGTATGAATATACCTGTTTAGTTTAGAAAATTCCTAATAGGTTAATGTAAGTTCTATCCAGTCAAGTTCCAGTTCCAGAAGTCATATCAATATTTAATACTTTCAAACAAAGCCAAAAGATAGACTTTTAAATGTACGAATCTGCAAAACATTTTGAATGTGTATGGATGTAGATAAAATAACATCAAAGGCCGGTACACACAAATGCCACTCTTTCATTGCTTGCTCCCAAGAATGGAATAACCTAAGATGACCTCTAGTCGTGCACAGTCACTCTAAGGATATGGTATACATGGAATTCTTATGAAGTGTTGCTGGGGTGTGTTGCCTGGCAAACCTATGGCCCTATGGGTGATCACAATCAGCTGCCTGCAGGTCGCTCTGCTCCACTTCTGGTCATATTGCAGAGGATCATCCCTTTCAAGAATAAACAGTCAAACATACACACTTTTAGTTTTATGTAGTTTTTTGCTTGCAAACAAGGAGGTATAACTACTCATTTGCATGCATCGACTTCTTGTTGACGAATGAATCTTCATTTTGGTTGCCAACCCTACCGGCTGTAGTCGCGGGGTGTGTAGCTGCTGTTGTCACGAAAGGTAGCAACTCAAAGTTGCGTCCGTGTGTTACTGGCTCTAAGAGTTCTACTATGAATTATGGTTTGAGGAACAGAAGTAACATTTACCCTCCTGGCTGACTTTTTCTTGGTATAGGCCTCAGACATCTCTATGTTACCCATCGTCACCTCACAGGTCCCTCTTGCCACATTGTATTCAATCACATTAATCATCTCACCCTATAAATGAAGAAAACAGAGCAAATAAAATAACTTAGTTAGATTTATAAAATTAATTGTCAATTTGACTGGCAACAAGACAGACATACATTCAAATCTCTCTTAGAATGTTTCTGTTTTAGTTGATTGTGTAACACGAACTGTTTATGTCACTCATAGTGTCAGCCTGCCTAAATAATATAACAGTGACTAGTAACTAACTCTTGTAGATGTCATGTGGAGTGTAAAATTAAAATGCAAAGTTTTGTTAAAATGCAAAGTTTTGTTAAAATTCAAGGTTTGTTATTTATTAGATATGGAAAATAGCCAGTTCATGACAAAATCTTGTTTGAATTGCATGTTTTGTGCTTAATCCATAATTTATTTTCCTGTGTTTGCCTTGATTGATGTTATTTAAATATTAAATATGATATTTAACAATTGGATGGTGACTTAGAAAAAAGAGTTAAACTGTGTACCCCAAGGTTATAAAAAAAACTTTTTTTAATAACCTGGGTGTACCCTATACTTATTATTCTAGTAACAGGATGAGTAACTATTTGTAAATATTTTTGTAAAATCACTATCTGCATATAGGTACTTAGTCTAAATAATATTGAAATATCACAGATGCATTTTCAATTCATTATTGTTATTCAAATTTCCATTTTTTTTTTGAATGGGAACTTTGCAGACTATACAAGCATGTAAATAATGTGTTTAAACATAGGAAATTTTTTGTATTTATAAATTTCTTAGAATTTCTTCAAAATCTTGACGGATAAAGGTGTTCCCCGCAAAACATTAAATTTAAATGTTAAAAATTAATTTCAAATTTTTATTTTATAATCCTTGCTAAAGATTGAGCAGAACAGAACTTCTCATACCTGAGTGTGCACCATTGCTGACAAGTCGGTGAACAGTTCATGAAGTTCTCTGATAGACTTCTCAAGTTCCATCATTTCTTTGTGCCTAATCTTTGCATCTTGCAAGGCAAGTTTCATTGCTTGTGTCTCATGGACATACTGAAACAAACAATATATTTTTCCTACAGTTACCTAACAATGTACATGTTCTCTCACTGATTTGAGAAAGCAAAGTGGCCAATTCGCTCACCAGTGAGACAATGTTAACATTGTCTCACTCTAATTACTTTGTCTCACTCCAGATTTGCAACGTGAAGGCACGAAATAGTGAGCGCGTAACATGCAGAAAGGGTCGTATGCGCGCGAAATACGTTGGCAGCACTGGCTGTAAATCAGCTGGTCAGCTGTTCTACTGTGTTGTATCATTAAATGTCATATTAAAAGTTAACTTCTGAGTAAAAATATGTTACGTTTCTTTACTAATTTATTTGTTTTGTGGTAACTGCGTAGGAAAAATATAATGTGCAACTCAGGTGCAAAGTGCAATTGCCTCACTCGAGAAACCATTCCTCACTCGCCTACGGCTCGTGAGTAAGTATTTCTCTCGAGTGAGTCAATTGCTCACTTTGCTCACTATATAGTTGCACAAATAACTATTTCCTACAGTCACCCGACAAAGTGGGCTTCCTTGCACATATTATAGTTTAGAAAACCTTAGTTTGGCGCACAGTTTTTACTTTGGCGCACACCAGTATTCCAACCAAACAACACAAAACATTGTGCTTTTATTATGCATGTAACCCATGTACGTTTGTTTGAAAATAAGTTGGCAACACTTGAAGATATTGCAACTACAGCGTTTATTTCGTTCAATGTTTGGATTTAACCTAACCTAAAACGTGTTGTACAGTGTTTGAAAGACTAATTATTTATGATTTTAGTAACTGTAGGAAATAGTTATTTGTGTAACTAGTGGTGAAAGTGGCACTTTGCTGCACACGAGAGCAATGTTTACGCACGAGCCGCAGGCGAGTGTGGAATGATCTCGAGTGCAGCAAAGGCCTTTTTCACTCGTGTTACACATTATATTTTTCCTACAGTCACTATAAAGCATATAAATAATTAGTCTTTCAAACACTATGCAACAAGTTTTAGGTTCAGCTGGCAACACAAATGGTGCCCTAGAGAAAGTAGTACCCACGGTCCATATCACTCCGCTATTTTTCCTCGGCAAGAAATGTGCTCCACGTTTTGAGAATATAGTTCCGTATGTTTTTGTGATTTGAAGTGGTTTCCGCACCTAAAAAAACGCTTAAAAGGTATTTTCTTGTTTATTAAGATCGTAGGAAGGTTTTAAAAACGTTTAAAAGAAAAGTCCAGAAAGTTCAGAAATACCGAAACTATAAACACGAAATGACAGGTTAAATCGTAGTTATAATAGTCAATCAGCTGCTCATAGTATAATTATCTTTAAGTGTTGCCAACCTATTTCCAAGCGTACACGGATTACGAGCATAATGGAACCACGCTGTTTTGTGTTGTTTCGTTGGAATCCTGATGTGCGGCAAAGTATAAACCGTACGGCAAATTATAAACCGTACGGCAAAGTATAAACCGTACGGCAAAGTATAAACCGTACGGCAAAGTAATTAATTAGCAGCTTTCTGTACTATAAATAGTACAAGGAAGCCAACTTTGTCGGGTGACTGTCGGAAAAATATTATGTGTAACACGAGTGCAAACTGCCTTTGCTGCACACGAGAGAAATGTTTACGCACGAGCCGTAGGCGAGTGTGGAAAGTTTCTCTCGTGTGCAGCAAACACACGAAGTGCCACTTCACCCACTAGTTACACAAATAACTATTTCCTACAGTCACCCGACAAAGAGGGCTTCCTTGCACATATTATAGTACAGAAAGCCTTATTTAGTTTGGCGCACAGTTTTTACTAAGAGACGTTGTGTTTTGTTTACAATTTGTTTCTATTATTTTTGGGGTTAATTTCTCATTATTTGTGTCTCACTGTTCGGTTATATAGCTAGTGGACGAGTTAGACCCGGTACACACGAACGACATACCTAGCAGACTAGGCTTGGACTAGGTAAGCACTAGGTAAGCACGACTGGATAGCGCACCTCAGGATCACACCGGTTCACACGAGCGACATGTCCACGGACTAGGTGAAAATATCGAGATCAAAACCGCTCGGTTCCATCACTGGTGCACAATGAGAACAAAGGTAAGAATGCGAGCTGCAGCTCGACTACCCGATCGCTCGTGTGAACGCTCCCATAAGGCTACATGTACTGCTACGCAGTTCAACTGGGCGACTGGGTAGTTGCCACGACGGACTGGGAGGCGGGGCCCGACTAGGTTTTGGGACATCAAGCTTGAACACGACTAGCTAGTCGGCGTCCTAGGCTCGTGTGAACGGCTCCATTTGATCCTGTGGTCCGCTACCCAGTCGTGCTTACCTATAGTGCTTACCTAGTCCAAGCCTAGTGTGCTAGGTTTGTCGTTCGTGTGAACCGGGCCTTATTGTTTATGATTAGACAGTTTTATTTGGTTAAACGAGGTTTTCAATTTACTGAAATAACAAGAAACAAATTTTAACAAAACACGATATCTACAGAAAACCGGACAGAACTAACAATAAAATTGGCTTCAGCTGTTCCATAATAAGGATGGGAAATCTACTAGGGACTATGTTATATAATAGACAAATAGAATAAATATATAGACTGTCAAAGGAAGGTTCCGGCGCCCACCACTAGGGTTTGCCGTGTAGTTACGGCGCAAACCGTTGCAGGCTGGGAGCGCAGGAGCCGTATGCGACCAGCAGACGCTGCAGCGGTGTGCGCCGTAACTACACGGCAAACCTAGCGGTGGACGCCAAAACTTCTGCTAACCGCAGCACAGCTGACGGTCTATATTTATTCTATTTGTCTATGGTTATATCTATGCTGTTACCTGGCAACTGTTTTATAGGTTGAATAGTCACAACATGCTGTATTAGTTATAATTTGAAATAGTGCCACAATTTTTCCACAGAGTGCAGCACAGAAAACAATTTTACTTTTGAAAAAGTCCAAATATATTAAATAAATAAATGAAATCCACCGAAGCTGTGCAACATTACCAGACTGACGATTTAAAAAATTACACCAAAATTGGTTGAAGCAAAAATCATCAGTTGTAAGTTTAAAGGAGAAATAGTCTTAATCCCAAGAATACTGATGATTTCATCCGAATTACCCTCTGAATTAAGGCAACTACAATTTCCTTTGTGTCTTGCTTTTGCAATCACCATTATAAGGTACTAGGGCAATCCCCGACTGTCGTCGGTTTAAATTTAGAAAATTCATGCTTTTCACACGGACAGCTGTATGTTGCGTGCTCACGGGGTGGTAGCTATGCCTAAAAACTTATAAGTTTTAGGTAGGCCTATATATTTATAAATATATATATTTATTCACCTAATGAAAAAACAAAAAAAACATTGCTATGCGCTCACTGGCAATAAGTAAAATATTCTATTTTTATTTTTAGTATAGGCCTACACTTTTATTATTCATCGTAAAGAACAAATTACCATTTAAAATAATTGTTGTTAAGCGCAACACACGCTGGGTAACTGCTAGTTTGGTATAAACGAGTAAACCTACATTTATTCGAACGAGTTCACGAAGCAGCATGATCAGACCATGGAAACGGGAGTTTATGGGGTAAATATGGGTTTTACCCATTTTTGACCTAAAAAACGTAAAATTTTGGAATTTCTTTCCCAACCATTTTGTAGAGCTTAAAAAAAGAAATAATTTAGTATATTGAAGCATTGTTGAATGCCTAATGGTTACGGAGAAAATTTAAAAAAATGCAAATTTAAAATTGCCATGTTATTCTTAAGGAGAAAATGAAAACTGTTGTAGTTTACTTGTTTATGGATAAATGTTGATCAAATTTGGCAAATTTATCTATTTCATCCTATACTATTGACGTTTGGTCAAAAAACACTGTTTACCTTCCCTGTAGCAGCAAACCTAAACACTTGTTAAATCTATTGTTATTTAAATAGGGAATAAATATGTCTTATTTATGGAAATATTTTAGTAAATATGTAATCATTTATACATCGATGAATCAGACAAGTTGAAATTCGGTAAGACTGCAGGTTTGCTGCGGCGGGGGTATTATTTTATGCAACGAAACACCAACAATGTGTATGTGACTGCTACTCCAGCAACTAAGTGTTTAGCCTTGAAATGAAATGAAATGAAATGAAGTGAAATGAAATGAAATGAAATGAAATGATGAAATGATATTTATTCGTCTATAGACATTATATAAATGCATCAGACACAGTCAAATTATATAAATACATGCTGGTAGAGGCACAAGTCAAGTTCAGGCAACTAATAGTAATAATAAAGAATTATTACACATCCGGCCTTAAGAAGTTCGGCCTTACATATCAGATGTCAATAGAAGTGCTCACTTATCTCCAAGATACTATTAATTACCAAGAAAGGTGCTGCTGATTAAAAAGAAAAATAATTTACCCTTAAAATAAAAATAATAAATAATCCAATTATCGCCTCTGAGCCTCTATACAGTAGCCTACATTACTCACATTGTCCACAAAGACCTGAGTAGTCTCTTTGTCTAGAAGAGCCTCTATTTCGTCCGCAGATTGGATGTTTGAGCCCGCTAGAACAGCAGGCCGCCGCATTACTGTCTGTATTACTACAACAATCGTCGCTCTTTTCACTCACTTGTCACATAACATCATATTTTATTAGTGGTTAGTGAGTGATCAATCAGAGCGACATATACTGTTAAAAGTTGCATTAATTATGACATCAAATAATTTTTCCTCCATGCAAACCTTAAAAACCATTTTGTTAAAGTGAATGCGTATCTAATAAATTAACTATGTCTATGTGATACAATACAAGTAAGATTTTTTAACCCACTGACCCCAACTACCGTGCTTTACCACATTTTGCAGCAAGGTAGCTGTACTGATATACCTGCTTGCGCTGAGTACAGTATAGTTTGTCAAATCTAACCTGCAAGCGCTAGTAGCGACAGTATGCTTAGTGGTACCGTACTCATCCCTGTCAACCGACATTGGCATGATAGCTCAGTTGGCTAAGCTAAGGCCCTTACAAGTGAATTGTTGAAGTTAAAGTATTTATAAATAAATGTGCAGGTTTGAAGCGAAGCGAAGCTCTTTGGGATCGACTTCAATGCAAACTTTCTAACACGTTAACTTAATAACGGCTGAACATATTTTAACCAAATTTACCAAGGTGTTTTTGTAAAATGTTCGGAAGGTTTGGACGAAACCAACTTCAATTTTTGATAATGCCTATAATTTAAAAGTAGCACAACGTTTTTAAATTTTAACATTGGCCTTATGGGTTGCCATGATGGTTACAACATAACAACGTAAATATAAACAAAACAAAGAATCTAACAAATTTGAATTTGACAAACAATAAATTTTAACAAAGAATTTTGCATATGTTTAAAATTAAGCCACAACCTAAACACAGTACAAATGAATAGATTCGGATGATGACCACTGATCAAATAATACAGAGAAAGTCTTAAGTTTACATTTAAGTCACCATTTGGAAACGACCACAGATCAAATAGGTACAGTATATTCTACAAATTTGATTTACGTAGCTATATCCAAGGTTATAACAAATAACATTTATCTTATGTTATTGGGAATTAAAACAACTACATGATACTGCAGTTTTTAAAAACTAGGTATTCTCAATCTAATCAATATTTTTAACTAAAGAGGCAATTATGAACATACATTCTTATTTTTTACTTTGAACTATTTTTGATGATATCATCAAGTTGGTACCGGTAACACACTTGTTGTATTGATTGTTGTGTTGGCAACTACTTTGGGTAGGCCTTTTCTATATTATAGCCCAAAAAGAATAAAGTAATTTTTGCATTTTTGTTCTACAAGAAAATACCTAATTCGCATTAGATTGTCATATTAAGGAATATTTCAGAATGCAATCTCAAAAACAGCCTGATATTTTGTAGAAAATGAAGACGAGCAATAACTTAAACACCTGAAACACATGAACAACTACTTGAGTGAAAATTTAAAAACGTACGTTTTCAGGAAAAGCACTTTTAAAATTTTTTGTTCCGTTTTTTTAATCTTTTTTTATTTTTTTATTTCATTGACATTTGAAGTTTCATAAAATGTCCATGGTAACACAATATCTTTAGTGGTTTTTTATTAATAGAGCATCTTTGTTGGAAAAACACAAAATTTTGTCACCGTCATGGACATAAAACTGAATATTAAAAATAGTTAATATTATTTTTATAACTATGTTTTGCTATAAATTAATTTACTTTTATGGCCATTATACAATAAACAGCCTACTAAGCTTTTGGTATATTTGGTCTTTCTAGAAAAAAATAAAAAAACTAAAAAAATGGAAAAAAGCCAATAAAATCTTTTAAGTTTGTATAACTCCGAAAAAACTTACCTGAGACCCGAAAAATCGTTATGTTTTTATAGAGGTATGCCTCTTTTGTGTATAAAACATTGAAATATGATGATATTTTAATTTTTGAAATTTTTATGGTAGAAATCATAAACGTGATGGTCAGGGACAAGCGGTACGGTCGTGAATTGTCTGGAATAATCTAAATCTTTCTAAACAATCCTTCAATTATACTGTTAGTTATAGTAAAAATATGTGTTTCAATTGAACTAAACTGTTCAATTTACAATTTTATTTCAGTTATTGTCACGACCAAACACAGTATAATCCATAAGGCTGGATTGGTCGTGAAAAAACCTGCGATGGTCGTGAAACTTTGGTCGTGACATTACGTGTTATTTGGCTCTGTTCTGGCGGTAGCCCTGCACCTCATGTTCGAGGATACAAAGTGGACTTCTAGGTTAATCTAGCAATTGAAATATCTTATAAACAAAAATTAACACCGTGTCTACTTCATCGAATGACTGCGTATGGTCATGGACACACCAAAATTACAAAAAACACAAACTTGCCTTTATTGATCTTGTAATTCCCCCTATCAACTCAAAACGACCGGTACTACAATCCTGTCGTACACCCCGAACTAGTCTCTAAAACGAACTGACGAAATCGACGCCAGGCTTGCCACCGTCGTGCTCCAAAGTTTAAAATCTTTCCCAAATGGTCGTGACGCCAAATCGAGGGACAGACTTATTTTGTCATGGTAGTCAGTTTTCAATGACAATAAAATTATAATATGCTCCTTTTTTGTAAGTTTAATAACTATTGATGACATAAAAATATGGCTTTATATATTTCGGCATGAATAATTAGTCTAAAAACAGCGTGAAAGTTGGAAATTGTACCCTAGGGACACGTCATGGTCGTGAATTTCAAGACTTTAAAAATACGAAAAAAATACCTAGAACCTATTTAAAACCAAATAAATGTGTGTAACATGTTGCCCCCGTCCCAAAAAATATTAAAACACAAAATAATAAACTACAAATCCAGTATCTTCGAAGTAAAATGCCAGGGACATGAAAACGTACGTTTTTAAATTTTCACTCACTTCTGGAAATGTCTTGAGATGGTTGAATGTAGAACACTTGCTTGAAAACAATGCTTTTCATAATTATGTTAAATATACAAAATTTAAGAAAACAAACCTCATAAGCATTTTTCTCAAAGCAGACAAGTCTTTAAAAAGTTACATCCCTACCCTAGTAGCACAAATATGTATTTTATAAATATTTTATATATTTAAAGTTGTATTTGATAGAACCTCGAATAAAATATATAAATAATATATCTTTAATAATAGTTCGATATATTCAAATATATATTTAAAATATTACCAAAAAGCAATGAAAAATATAAATTAAATATAAGTTTTGAATATATAAAATATATTCATAATATATATTGATAAAATAAGTATAGAATCTATAATATACATATTTTATATGTATATTTTCCTATTAAATATTAAAAAAAATTTTGTCTTGAGAATATTTTAAATATATATATAAAAATATTTTTGAAACTATATTATATATTTAAAGTATTTATAAATATATTTTGAAACACGTCAGATATTTTTATTAATAAAATAATAATATACTAGATAGCCTGTTGCTCGAAATCGAGCAAAATTGCAACTTGTAATAAAATAATGAAGAACAAAAAACCTAATCAGCAAAACCACAATCATAGAGTCGCTCTAAAAAATCAAAATATGACAAATTTTATGTTGTAAAAAATTATAAAAGTAATTTACGGTACAATATTTAAATATAGATCCGTTCTCATACTGCTTTGGTTATCTCTTATGTACTGTGGGCGGGTGTCCTCTATGAGAACGTAGATGTCAACCACACACTGTAAAGCTGTGCTGTAAAGTGAGCTTTTCAGACCTAATGTAGCAAGCTAAATCCTTCTCTTGACGCCAACCAGTACGACACATACTATAGCAGTGTTAAATTATTTCTACGATATGTTCTGTTTTAGGCGTGTTTAAAATAGGTGCCCCAACCAAAGTCTCCAGTTTGGAACATAAGAGTGGATTTAATGACGTATCTAGAACGGATTCACGTTTGACACTATTTGTTTGAAAAAAAAATATTTATTTTGACAGGTGGTGCTCTGTTTTCAGCTTTAAAATAGCTGCGACGTCTATACAGGCAGCATCATTGTAGCAAGGGAAGTCACTTATTTAGTCTCTTGCACTTAAGAATCTAACTTGACTCCTCGGAGCTCTCGTCCCTACAAATTTCTGCCACAGCTTTAAAAGATTGGGCAAATGGGTTGGCATTGTCACCCTACTCCTACATATTTTTGTTTCATTTTTTGTTTGAATTGTTTTACATGCGCTGTTGGGTTCTAGTGCCAACGTCATACTTATAGATCTGTGCATATTCAGGATCATGACCTTGTCGAGGAATTAGATTACTTATTCAGTGGTAAAACGTGTCATGGATCTTGAAATTGTAGATCCCCTGTGCGACCCTCTCGTCAAAATTAGCTTCAGAGCTGACCATGGCGAAGGCGTTTTGAATTGACTAATTTTATCCAGATAATTTCTGGATCCAAGCCTCACAGCCCTGTTTTCAGATTGGGAGTTTCCAATAAGTTCCTGAAAGTATGGTGAATTCCACAAATGAGGTAACCGAACCTTTCATTTATGGCAACAAAGAGTAGAAATTGAACTGTCTCGGCCAGTCTTTTTTTTTTGCTTAAAATGTAAGCAACCACAATGTAAATATTTAACGTTATCAATTATTAATTATTAAAGATGGGGACGCCACTATGTGCACTATGTGGGTAATTTAACCCAAATATGAGTGAAGGATGAGTGGCACGATCTTGTAGTCTTGTTAGTGACTAAGACCGACATAGTAGTTTGTCCGAGGTAGGATGTATCACCGCGGTGGTACTGCCACTCTGTATCCGTCAAATTGGGAGGTTGATGCAAGCGGCCACGTTTGCGTTCCCTCCAGCCACTCCCAGATCTTCGTCTTTCTTGTGGCATTTAGTTAAAAATTTAGATAAAATGTGAAAGTTAACCAATCAACAGAAAACACAACAATGGAATTTTGATACACATTGAAAATTACATCATAATATGGTAATGTAAAGGGTAACTGCACTGAATAATCACTTTCAAACATTTACTTAATCACACCGAACTGTAAACAAAACTACATGATAATT